TGTTAATAACATTTTCTTATCAAATTGGTATTTCCATTTTACTCAATTTATCGATATTATTCAGACAAATAAACTCTACACAAAACTTAAATTTTGTTACCCACGTTTCAAACCAGGTACAAATTCTCATTTGCACAAATAACAACATTACTTAATACATGCTAATTACAAGGCAAGACATAAAGTATAATTCTAACTGGCAATAAGCACCAGCCCATCCGTTTCTAGGCCTCAAATATTGCCTCCGCAAAATGACAACTTGACATTAACACTACTTGCAGATCTACTACTGGGGTTGCGTAAATACTAATTGTGCCGTTACCCTCGGCGCGTGACTCACAACCGCGCTTGACCGGTTTTGTCTTGACGGAACAAAATAAGCTCTAGGCAATATCTCATGGAGATTCAATGCTAATACCAGTTTGCAGACGCCGATATAAAAGCGAAAGCAAGTGCTCCAAAAATTATTACAATCAACAGCCTCATACAAAACAAACATGTACACCAAGGTACTGCAGTGATTTAATTTTATCGCATTTAAATTCAAGTGACTATTTTGTGACAACGAACATTGAAGTGTTACAACAGGCATATTACATATACCTCGTTGTTTGAGTGATCACAAATACTGAACAGGAAATTTTCTGTTTTGATTCTGAATTCAGTTAAAAAATATTAATTCGGACTCTGAAATTTAGCTTGTAATTTAAAATATAAATAACAACAATCACTTCATATCGAAGAAGTGATTGTGGTTCTCTTAACTGATAGTTTATTTGAAGTATTTTCAATACGAAGTGTCAAATTAATTAATCAATTAAATCAAATTTTTTTTGAGCAATTTTTGAACTAACTACGTTCAGTAGAACGTAGTACATCATACTATAACAAAAAGGGAGCATGTCTACAAATCATGTATTTGAAAAGTTCTCTCATCAATACCAAAGCCATTTTATTAAATCTAGTATTTCTATTCCAGGTCGTAGTATTCTTGTGCGCGGCGAGCCTCGCCTCCGCTGGCCACCTCCTCGAGGCCGCTGCCCCTGTGGCATACAGCTCAGCGCCCGCCGTCTCCTCAGTATCATTCTCCTCTCACACCTCACATGCTCCCGTCGCCACATACGCCGCCGCTCCAGTTGTCGCCAAGGCCTACGCCGCCCCCGCCTACGCCACCTACGAAGCTGCTCCCGTCGTAGCTAAGAGCTATGCCGCTCCCGCCTACACCACCTACGCTGCTGCCCCAGTTGTAGCTAAGAGCTACGCTGCTCCCGCTGTAGCAGCCTACTCTGCTCCAGTGTACGCCAAGTCCATTGCGCCAGCTGTCTCTTACTCCTCATACTCCAGCCACTCTGCTCCTCTGACCTACGCTGCGGCTGCTCCCGTCGTCGCCAAGACCTACGCCGCCCCTGCTTACACCACATACGCCGCCGCTCCCGTTGTGGCTAAGGCTGTTGCCCCAGCAGTGTCTTACTCTTCTTACTCGGCTCACTCAGCACCTGTGGCCTACGCTGCCGCTCCCGTCGTTGCTAAGACCTACGCCGCCCCCGCTATCACTACCTACGCCGCCGCTCCCGTGGTAGCTAAGTCCTACGCCGCCCCAGCAGTCGCCACTTACGCCGCTGCTCCCGTCCTGAAATCCGCTGTAACCTATTCTGCTGCACCTGCTGTTTCCCACGTCACTTACGCTGGTTTGGGAGCCAACTACGGATGGTAAAAACATGTTTGTTGATAGATAAATAATTTATTAAAAATATCTTGGGCTGTATACTTGTAATGATTGTATATACAAAAAGAAATAAAAATTGAAAAATACGTTTGGTTTTTATATCTACTTCGGTTCGCAATACCTTTATCAACCTTTTTACATACTACTATGTAGTACTGCTGCTGCTATGTACGACCTCGTTGGCCGAGTGGTCACAACTGCGGCTGCCGGGCAAGGGGTCTCAGCTTCGATTCCCGAGCCGTGCAAAGTATTACTGAGATTTTCTCAATAGTAGTACGGAGACTGGAATTGTGCCCGGTATATGGCAATAGGCTCACCCTCTATTACATGGGACTCATAACATAAATAGTGAAAAGTGGGTGTTACATTTTGCAGTGGTATAAAGTGCAATAATGTGCACCACTACCTATTTATGCATTTGTAGGAACATGTTTTATGAGTAACATGTACAGAATGACACATTCGAGTAGGCATCATTTCCAAATATGCGTTTATGCCAAATATAAAGAAAACAACAGTTCAAAGTGTCGTAAATCATAAGCGGCAGGAGTCAAGTGTGAATATTCTTCTAAGCTTCGCAGGTCTGGTATTATTTTCAGTAAACTCTATATATTATAAACAGGTTCTTCAAGAGGGCGGTGAATAGGTTTTTTAAGGGTCGGCAAGACGCATGTAATGCCCCAAGTGTTGCAGGCGTACATAGGCCACGGTAACCGCTTACCATCAGGTGGGCTGTGTGCTTTTTTGCCACCGTCGTGGTATAAAAAAAAACATGAGTTTGAAGTTTATTGTATAAGAAAATCTCATACAAGTCGGTATCTTAACAAACAGTATGAAAAGACTTGCACAATATTCCTGATCAACTAACTTAGCAACACCAATATAATTTAAGTTTATCAGCAAACTTATGTATGTACATGAACACATAATTTCATTTAACTTAACGATCTCCCACATACTTACTTCATATGCCTTGAACCCACAACTCTAGTTGGAAATGTGAACAACATTTTCCGTTCCACTTGGGCACGTGTATACCACTCGCACTTGACCGATATTACTCTCTTATACAAATGGAACTATAATCTGTTAGTACTACTTTAAACTGGGATTCAATGAACCAGTTTGCAAACGTTTGATATAAAAGAGCATGCAAGTGCTCCAAAAAGTATTGCATCGCACAACCACGTCTAATTCAAACATGTACACCAAGGTACTAGTGACTTTTTATATCATTTTTCATATTTAACATTTTACCTTAATGAAAGAAATTGTAAACTTTCTTTCTTCTGGTCTTCCTAACTGCACTTTGTTACGTCATTGATATCTGCCCTGCACAATTGCTTGGTAATTGTAAATTTTCGTTGGAACAATTGACAGAAAAGATAAAGATACACTTTCTTTTCGGATAGAAATAGGGTGTCAGGCCACTTTTACATATTTTACATCAGCAACCATTAGAAAGATTACGAAGAAGGGAACCTATAATTGTTCAACTTAATTGTTATGGTATTTCTATAAAGAAACTTAATCCTTTATTTGAAATATTATTTAACACTTTTCCAGGTTCTAGTCTTCTTATGCGCGGCGAGTATCGCCTCCGCCGGTATTGCAGAAGCTCCAGCTGCGTACAGCGCACCTGCAGTATCAACCGTCTCCTTCTCTTCGGCTGCACCCGTTGCAGCCTACGCCGCACCTGCGTATGCTGCGTACGAGGCCGCTCCAGCTGTAGCAGCCTATACTGCTCCAGTGTTCAGCAAAGCTGTAGCTCCAGCAGTCTCCTACTCCTCTTTCACCAGACAATCATCTCCTGTGACTTATGCCGCGGCTGCACCAGCGGCAACTTATGCTGCAGCTGCACCATACACAACTTATGCCGCCGCTGCTACTCCAGTTGAAAGCTATTACACTGCTCCCGTAGCAACGAGGACTTTCACTGCTGCTGCGCCTGCTTATCGTGCGTACTCAGCCCCATTCGTAGCGAGGACTTTCGCTGCAGCTGAACCCGCTCGATTCGTTGCCAGGACTTATGCTGCTGCAGCCCCTGCCGTTGCCTACACTGCTCCTGCTGTTGCCGCCTACACTGCTCCTGTTGTCTCCAAGACCTTCGCTTCTCCCGCTGCAGTGACTTACTCTGCAGCTCCCGCCGTTTCCCACGTGGCTTACACTGGTTTTGGAGCCAACTATGGTTGGTAAATGAAACCACTTGATTCTTCATATTTATTCCTTAAAATGTCTATGTACTTCATTTAATACGATGCTCTAAATAAAACGTGTATAAAATATTTTTAATGTTTGATTTTTACTAAACATTAGTTATTTGGCTAATATCCTGAATATTTACTTATTCAATCAATTTAAATAATTTAACAATCATTTGTCTCTTTGATTTAGTGGTTGCAAACGCGACAACCAATCAAGATATTTATACAACACAATATATAATATGTAGGACATAGCAGTTTTACCTTTCTTAATTTTTTTTATTTTCTAATGATTACTTAATGTATGAAATAATAACTTCAACCGTCAATAATTACAGAAATATGTAGTAAAAAATAGGGATGAAATGATATTAAACGACCAAGTTAAGTTTCAACACCATTTATTTATAATGATCACTTTTATTTATAATAAAAATGTTTGAAACATTTTTATTTTTAATACTTAAAGTACAAACAAATCACCAGCCATAGTTGGCACCATAGGTCACTGCAGATTTTAATACGGGAGCAGCGGAGTATGTGGCCACTTCAGGAACAGCGTAGGACTTCGCAATGACGGGACTCGCAGCGTAGGCGATAGGCGCTGAATGGCTTGAGTAGGATACCGCTGGGACGATAGCCTTAGCCAAAACGGGCGCAGCGGCGTATGTGGTGTAAGCAGGAGCGGCGTAAGTCTTGGTGATGACGGGAGCAGCGTAGGACTTGGCGATGATGGGAGTGCCGTAAGTCTTGGCGATGACGGGTGCGGCCGCAGCGTAGGCCAGAGGAGCAGAGTGACTTGAATATGAAGAGTAAGAGACAGCCGGAGAGATAGACTTGGCGTACACTGGAGCGGAGTAGGAAACTGCAGGAGCCACGTAGCTCTTGGCTTCAATGGGAGTAGAGTATTCATAAACTGGACTTTCATAGGACTTTACAATAGGTGCGCTTTCATAACTAGCGTAGGAAGGAGAGTGAGACGTGTGAGATGTGAATGATACGGAAGACACTGCAGGAGCTGAACTGTATGCTGGCTCAACCGCTTCCAGCAATTGCCCCGCTGAGGCAAGGCTCACCACGCACAAAAATACAGCAACCTGTTAACAGAAAATTGAAGTTAATTTTGATATCTTGTTTTATTTAATCTAAATATTTATTTTAGGCGCCTTGCATAGTGAATCAGCAAAATCGTACGCTATCGTTGTTTATCTGTTGCTTTTATTTCATAGTATGAACAGATATTAAGAAAATTATCTTACTTTTAATTCTTTTTAAATTTAGCGCTTAGTAAGACATTTATTATGGTGCCCTATACCTCTATTCTTGAACCTAAATCATGTTGAGCTCACAATTTTTTTTACCATGGTACCCTATTATGGTAGATGACTAATTTTTATTTTAATGTCCGTCTGGTAGATTATTTTAAAACATTACACACGTATTTATTTTCTTACAGTAACGAATACTTTTGACGATATATTGATTTGAAATGTCGCATAACGTCACTTCTATGTACCTATATTTTATACGTAGAAATGATGTTTTAGCCCCCACTTTTGAACTTTGATTCGTTTTATCTAAGTATCATTTTAGTATACAACAAAATAAAAAATACGTGTCTAATATTTTTTCATTATCTAACTGACGGACTAATTAGATTTATAATTTTCTTACACTGTCACCTACCCAATTCACTATAGGCACAATCAAGGAAAAGCACATAAAAATTAAAAACTATTAAAAACAGTACCTTGGAGTACATGTTGGTGGTGAGTGTTGTCGTTGAGTGTAATTATTGAAGCATTTACTCTGGTTTTTATATGAATAATTGTGAGTGTTAATCATTGAAACTTCAGGGGACATTGGACTACAATTCCTTAAATATAAAACGGTCAATGCCTTATAATGTCAGCAAGTTTTCGTAGGAGCAATTATCATATTAGTTGAATAAGATTTCAACTCTGAAAAACAAGTAAAGTATTTTCTTCTTGCTACACAGGGCAATTTTTGATCCAGTCCTATTATTGTGAACTTAAAATATAACTAAAAAAACCCTGATCGGTCGCCGGTCCCGGGAGTCGGATCCAAAAACATCTTGCATGCAACCATGCAACGAAAAACTAAACTTACCACTTTCGTTTGTATACTTAGTAATTTTTTATTTAATTTATTACCGTCGACCTCATAGTTCGCTTAAAAAATTGACGTGTAAAAGTGCTGCCTTGTAGCCTATTTGCAGAACCAAATTCACTTGTTTATTAATTTTAATTCGTCTTAACTCGTCGAGTACCGTCAATACAGACACAATTATAGAACAATAGGTTGCGGTCACCGGTGACCGCTTGGTGTTTGACAGTTTAACACGATCCTTTACCTAAAACTTAAAACAAATGCAACAAATTAGGTAAGACTGTACATCTGTCTATGTGTCTGAAAATTCTCATTTTATTATTTAACTCGTCGAGTACCGGTTTTGTAGACACAATTATAGAACAATAGGTTGCGGTCACCGGTGACCGCTTGGTGTTTGACAGTTTAATAGGGTAGAATATTGCTAATATTGCTAACAACGACTACGACGTTCACCGGGATATCTAGTAAGTATATATTTAAGAATAATTCTACGGGTTATTTTTATTAGGTGCTGGAGAAAGTCAATACTTTAAACACCATGGGGGGCAAAAGCAAATGTTGCTAATACAGTGGTCTTAACAGCAAACTATCAAACACCGCGAGGACACCGGTGACCGCAACCTATTGTTCTTTAATTGTGTCATAATGACGGTACTCAAAGGGGACTGTCAAACACCAAGCGGTCACCGGTGACCGTTACCTATTGTTCTATAATTGTGTCTATAATGACGGTACTCGACGAGTTAAAAAGGCCAAGTCGATTATTTGCTTTGTATTTATTTCTAATAGGAATGGCCCATAGCCTTCATATAGTACTTGTGGAGACTAGTTCATTTGTGTTATCTGTAGATTTATAGCTTTTTTTAAGGGGGGAAAATCATCGAATGACTGCTCCTGCCTAGGTGAGGCGGGAGGGAGTGTCAGACTCTTACTGACTAAAAACCACCCCGTTCCTTCTCCTGCACGTCGAGCTGGAGCCCCGGTAACCCGTTAGGTTCTCCGCGACAGATTTATAGCTTAAATAATTTAATCAGTACCATATACAATAATAATACCTGTTAATTAGAGATTTCACTGTTAGTTTTAGTAAACAAACTGCTATGAAACTTTGACTTATATTGTACATTTCTACTTGATCTGAAAATACCACTGGTTAACTATTCAGACAGATATGGCTCAACTCACACCAAAAAAGCGTCAAAATGCAGTGAAGCGGAGCGCAGTTTCAGTGTCATATGAATTTTAACTTTATTTTTATTGCTATAATACTTATAATACATACAATACTGACTGCTGACAGCCTCGTTGGCCGAGGTTCGATTCCCGAGTCGGACAAAGTATTAATGATTTTTTTTTAATTCTCAGTAGTAGCACGGAATCTGGAACTGTGCCCGGTATTACATGGGACTTATAACATAAATTGTGAAAAGTGAGTGTTACATTGAACAGTAGTATAATGTGCACCTCTGCCTACCACTTTTAGGATAAAAAGCGTGATGTTATGTACAATACAAATTACCCGAACCAGCTTCCGCGCAACTCGTTCAGCTCGTTCGATTCTTGGTGTGAGTGTATCCAAATTTTTTGCCTTTTTTATCTGTTATTCTATTTAAACTGTCAAACACCAAGCGGTCACCGGTGACCGCAACCTATTGTTCTATAATTGTGTCTACAAAACCGGTACTCGACGAGTTAAATAGGTATTAAATCTGAAATGAGTAATTATTTGTGCATAGGCATTTTACTGGAAATCCAATTCTGATTTGTGCAGAACTCGTATCAATTTCTTTGTTTAACAAAAGTGCAATACATGACTAAGGTGGTATATTATTTAAGTTATAGACATCTCTCTGTTCTACCTTACAGGCTATACTTTATTAAACGTAGATATTACAAATCAAATAAGTTCATAATATTAATTATTAAAGCTGCAATAAAAAAGTGTACTGAGTCCGATTCCTGCACGGAATAACTCCTTGCTTGTGTGATCCAGAATGTTTTATTACGATAGACGTTATTGTGATAGAAGTGACATCTAGTCACGTCTATGTGCAATTGTATGTTTGTAAGTGCACCCACGATACAAGAGAAAAACCTTGATTCTAACGTTAAAAAAAAAGGTTCCATACCGATCGTAATCTTTTTGGTATGACTTGATCATTAAGAAAAACAATTATTTCTTGATTATAACCTAATTGCGATTTTAATGTATAGGTACCTTAAAGACAACCAATATTGACAAGCATATGCACATGCCATGTATTAAATCATGTTTGTTTAAGTAGTACTACAGAATCTCATAGCTTATGAACTGATTAGGGCGAGGCGGTGTATAGCGTATAGGTAATGCAAGTGCATCACTTAGGGCTTTGAATCAATTAGGGATTAACCTACTCAGGGGTTCCACTAGAGCTTTGATTTGTCTCAACAATGATATATCACAGAGAGTGGACACATTGGATTAAATTCCTGTTTGTACTAGAGGAACAGAGATTGTTTGAAGATTGTAGAGGTAAACTAATTGCAACCTACTTTAGTTAAGAGAATTTTCACTTTACCTTTAATTAACAAATTAAACGAACAAAAAGTAGATTGTATGCTTTTCCTGCCTACCTCTGCAAGCAATTATTTAACCACCCCTCACAAAAACAACAAGACATAATAAATGAGGGGTTTCAGAAACTTAAATGTAAACACATGGAAGTATGAATATTTGTTTTTATTTCGTTCTCTTTTCGAATACACATTCTTATTTACATGATATGATTATTTACATTATTTACTATAAATAAATTAATAACCAAGTATTTACCAACCATAGTTGGATCCAAGACTAGAGTACGACACGTGAGCGACAGCGGGGGCGGCAGAGTACGCCACAGCAGACTTGAGGACGGGAGCAGCAGCGTAAGTAGCGACAGCGGGGGCGGCGTAGGACTTAGCTACGATGGGAGCGGCGGCGTAGGCCACAGGTGCGGAGTGAGACGAGTAGGAAGAGTATGATACCGCTGGGGCAACAGCCTTGGCCACGATGGGAGCAGCGGCGTATGTGGAGTAAGAAGGAGCAGCGTAAGTCTTGGTGACGATGGGAGCAGCCGCGGCGTAGGCGAGTGGAGCAGAGTGGCTGGAGTATGAGGAGTAAGAGACAGCTGGAGAAATTGACTTGGCGTACACTGGAGCAGAGTAGGTCGCGACAGCAGGAGCAGCATAGCTCTTGGCTACGATGGGAGTAGCAGCATAGGTGGTGACCGCGGGTGCAGCGTAGGTCTTGGCGTACGCGACGTCAGAAGAGTGAGTTGAGATGGATTGGTAAGACACTGATGGAGCGTAGCTCTTAGTTACGACGGGGGCAGCTGCGTAGGTAGCGTAGGCGGGAGCGGCGTAGCTCTTAGCTACGACGGGAGCTGCGGCGTAAGTGGCGTAGGCCGGGGCAGCGTAGGCCTTAGCGACTACAGGAGCGGCGGCGTATGTGGCGACGGGAGCATGTGAGGTTTGAGAGGAGAATGATACGGAGGAGACGGCGGGCGCTGAGCTGTATGCCACAGGGGCTGCAGCCTCGAGGAGGTGGCCAGCGGACGCGAGACTCGCCGCGCACAGGAAGACTATGACCTAGAACAGAAACGCAGAAAAGTTGGTAAACACAAAAAAATAAACCTGGTTATATCTAATATTCATAATGTTTCATCAAATAAGTCTATTAAGAACTAAATCATAAATAAAATAAACATAAAAAAAACACTCTCTTTTCCTATATTTCACACAAGGGTGCGAACATTTAAACCTAAGTAATAAGTAATTTCGCCAGTTATGTAACACTAAATTAATGAATTACGAATAAAAATATTAATACGAATAATTATCGCTACAGTACCTTGGAGTACATGTTTGTAATGGATGTGGTTGTCGAGTGTACTTTTTGGAGCAATTGCTCTCGCTTTTATATGCGTATCAGTGAACTGGTATTAGCATTGAATCTCTGTTATTGCCTGAAGCTATTTTTATTCAGACTGCTCTGCAATGTGTAATACGCATTAATTAAACTTTAATTCGTTCGCAAAAATATTTTGCTGTTGCACTATGTTAAAGAGTGAGTGTCAAATAAAAGATTTATTTATTTTCTAATACACACAAACATAAGGAATGGGTCATAAGATGGACATTAATACTATATGACATTCTTTCCCAGTCAAACTTAGGGTCAAATTGAAAATCGGCAAATACAGACATGTGTGTTGTAAAGAGAATAGATTGAATTTTCGGGTCGGAAAATATTATTTGCATTCTCCTTTGGACTATTGTACAAAGTCATAATTATGAAAAATAAACTTTATAATCTAGCTCGAGAGTCGAACATAAGATTACATAAAATATAAGCACATTATAAATAGTAAGACCGAACACATAATTACGTATGACACAAAATTATCATAATTAAAACATTTCGAGTTAGTGAGTCATTAAAATTAAATAAATTGTGAACTAACGATTTAAAAAACTGTATCAAATATATCTTACTAGCTTTTACCCGCAGCTTCGCTCGCGTCACAAAAGGATAAAAAGTAGCCTATGTGACATATACACACAGCGCCATCTATACCAATGATTTCGTTTTTCCTCGAGAATATCACATTTTTCCGGGATAAAAAGTATCCTATTATTTAATCCAGACTTCTAACTTTACGTCTGCAAAAATTCAACGCAATCGGTTTAGTAGTTACGGCGTGAAAGCGGAACAAACAAATAAACTCACTTTCCGATTTATAATATTAGTAAGGATAAGGATTACATGTATTTACATACATATATAATTTTCTTTATATAATACTTACCTATCTTATTGATCGAGTGGCCACAAATACGACTATTTAACACGAGATCTTGGATTTGGTTCTCATTTGGCATTTGGCTGGATAAAACTTCATGTATTGAGTTAGACTTGGTAACCAAACCTGATAATGAACAACGTGATATTAATAAAAAAAAATATTTGGCTGTCTAGGAATAGAATTTTTAATTAATGCTTCGTATTTGAACTTGTAGCCACTAGACCGTCAAGGGCAGTTCTTTGTTTAATGATCTACTAAAATATGTGAATAACAAAAACATTAAAAACAATACAAACGATGACGAAAGCAGGAAGATGGTCTAGCCGACTGTGCAACGAAACGAGGGTAATGCGTTGTCTGTCGTTTGCGCTCACCGTTTATTGATATCATCTAAAATTACCATGAAGATGATCTCTTAGACATAACGATATTGTTTTTTTACTTCACTATCAGCACCACACACAATGAGAGTCAGTAAGTGTGGGCGAGTTATGAGGCGAGAGAATGGGTTGGCTCGACCGGAGTGATAACACGGCGTCACAGAAAACCGACGTGAAATAACGATGGCATTATGTTTCGTGGTGTGGGTGAGGTTACTGGAGGCCAAATTAACCCCCCCCCCCCAGAATCCCCAACAATTCTTAAATTTTTAAATCCCCTAAGGACCGGCAACGCACTTATTATGCCTCTGGCGTTCCGGGTGTCCATGGACGACGCTGATTGCTTACCATCAGGTGATCCGTCTGCTCGTATACCGGCTTACCCCAAAAAACTTCAGCTCAGCCTCTCGCTCAGCACTTGGAAATTCAAGTTTTAAAAGGTCTGGTTTGTCAAAGAGTAAGTACTGCTTTCTAGTTTCTGTCAAATGTGTAGTCTATTAATAGTTAGATGGCACTTACGATATCCACCGAACTACTACCACCATACGACACTTCAAATGAGACGGTCACAATTCTTGACTCTATAATACCACACAGAATTTTGAAATCGGAATATCTATGCCTAATGTCAGGTACCACCGATTCATCGAACCTAAAATCCCGCAATCAGCAATCACATTTCCGACTATTAAACCAACTCGTTCACATAACCACATTCTTTGACAAATTCCATGTTTTTTAAACGTTGCCCCGCACTTGGATTTTCTCTTGTGTCGTGGGTGCGTTTACAAATATACAAGTTCACATACACATGACACCCAGACCCGGAACAACAATCTGTGGATTACATAAAGAATTGTTCCGTGCGGGAATCGAACCCGCGACACGTTGCGCGGCAGCCAGTTGCCCAGTCACCGCGCCAACCGTGCAGTCAAGTCAAAGTAATTATAATAAGTATGATATTTCTATAACACCGAGTCAAAGAAACCGCATTTAATTAAATTAAAAATATTTTGGTAAAAGGGAATGATCTTGAGTTTATTTATTTTTGCACACAAACAAGGCTATAGACCTAGATAGGCATAATATGAAACAAGTATAAATGACATCACAATATTATGTAATTATTTTAATATTATGGAAGCTTTAAAAACTTCATTCAAAATGTTCTACGTTTCATAATTTCTTTATTTATTTAAGAAATTGTGTAAATTATTCACTTGTCATGGCTCAATTAATAACAACGACTATAAAATCAGAAGTCTAAATAGCTGAATACAAAAACTGTGTTAAAATTCAATAAAATCAAATCACTATGCTAATGACGTTTGGAATTCACAACTTGATATCGAAGTTACCGTAATCATACAAAATATGCGTTATTTTAAGTATATATTGGAAATGATTTCACGAATAAAATTTGCATTTAGTATTAGACTACACATTAATAAATGTTGTATAAAATAAAACAAATCGCATATTAACTACATTATCTAAGCACGGAAACTCAATGTAGATCACAGTAAATATCGAATATTGCGAAATCGCTACATCACTAGCACAAATGCATTAGAACAAAATAAAACACCCATTTACATAACCTGCATTTATTTACAAAACGTTATATCACAATAAATTATTATTCTAACGTTATTTTTATACTAGAAGTATTCTACCAACCATAGGAGACTCCCAAACCGTTGAAGGTAACACGGGAAACTTCTGATGCGGGAGAAAATACTATAGCTTTGGCATAACCGCCTTCTTGTCCACCAGAAACAGACACAGGGTGGTAACGCACCCCCGGACCAGAAGGAATAGCTGACAAGGGAATAGGTTGACCACTAACTGGAACTTGCAGTAATGTAGCAGAGGGCGCTTTAGCCAAAACAGCGACAGGCTGAGCACTCGGCTGGTACTGCTCCACTTGTTGGAAGATCACTGGAACTGGTATGGGAGCAGGAGCGTACTTAGGAGCTGGCGCACCGTGAGCGGTAACAGTACTGTACGCTTCAATAACTTTCTTTGGTGCAATTGGAACAACTGGTACAGCAACAGTGGGCACGACTGGCACAGGAATAACGGGGTTAACAGCGTAAGTAATCCTAGGTTGAGGAATGTACTGCACTTGGGGAGAATTGACAGCTTGCCCACGATTCACTTGGTACGTAGAAACAGCAGGAGATTGCGACTGGACATTCGCATTATTCACAGAATAAGGAACTAGTTGATATTGCCTTTCGGCACCAGAATTAGAGTTGGAACCGTAAGCGACGGCTTGAGCAACTTGATCATTACGTTGAGGAGAAGAAGGGTGAACATTGACTGATCCGTAAGACTCCAGTGTCGCTTTGTTTACAGTATAGGGAACTAATTGTTGTGGTCTTTGTTGGGCAGCATTATTGTACAGTACTACAGGCCGGGTATTCTGGCCATGTCCAGATTGTGCTTGACCTTGGGCTTGACCAGCGTTTTGTGCAGGCCTGGCATTCTGGCCATATCCAGATTGCGATTGATCTTGGGCTTGGCCAGCGTTTTGTGCAGGACTGGCATTCTGGCCATATCCAGATTGCTGTTGACCTTGGGCTTGGCCAGCGTTAAAGTATACCAATGCAGGCCTGGCATTTTGAGCATAACCAGCTTGCGCTTGTCCTTGAGCTTGGCCAGCTTTATTGTATGCCAGTGCAGGTCTGACATTTTGGCCGTATCCAACTTGCGCGTTGCCTTGAGCTTGGCCAGCTTGTTGGTATACAAATATAGGTCTGACATTCTGACCATATCCAGCTTGAGCTTGACCTTGGGCTTGGCCATGGTTACTGTATACTAGAAAAGGTCTGGAATTTTGGCCGTATCCAACTTGTGCGTTACCTTGAGGTTGGCCGTTACCTTGATCAGAACCAACTGTTACAGTTTTAGCCGAAACAGGAACTGCAAAATATGGCTGTATGGGAGGTACAGAGGGCGCATACCTTTCAAGAACATTGCTGTATTCCGGCGAAGAAGGATCCGAAGCCACAGTGGCTGAAAATGTAGCAGGTTTTTGCTGTCCTCCAGGCGCTCCATAAGATTGCACGGGTACGTTTCTGTTCGGGAATTTCTCGACAATAGTATCCACAACGGCCGGTTTCAATTCGTAGGCTAGAGACGGTGTAGGTAAATACTTGACAGACGGTGGTGTAACTGTACTGTAGGAAGATTCAGAAGGTACAGCAAGATGGTCCTGCTGTGGAGAAGTGTCTGCAGCAGGGGATGGAGATGCCGGTCCATTTTGAGATCCAGGATTCAAACTGATACCACACACGAACCCGGCATACAGAAGTATCACGAACTAGAAAACACAAAACTGAATTAGTTTTACGTAACAAATAACAGATTTATAAAGTTTAAATAAATAAAGTAAACTATCACCTCTCTATACATGTTTGTTCAGATAGTTTTGATGACAAAATAACATCGAGATCACGTGCATTCACTTTTATACCATCTTAGTAAAACTGGTATCTAATCCTAGGAGATTCTTTATGCAATTCAAATTTTATAAGTTGGTCATTGAGAAAATGACCTTTAAAGCGTTGCATTAAGGAGTTTTGTCATTGCATATTTAAGTTTGTTGACGTCGGTGTCTCGATGGAGGTTTTCTAAATCAACTTCCGTATCCCATCAGAAATATTTTACTACATTATAATCATAAACTACATAAATCAATGTATCCTCCTTGAGACTTAAAGATGTAGGAAGTGGATAATTATGACACTT